AGGAGGAGGAGGAGGAGGAGGAGGAGGAGGAGGAGGAGGAGGAGGAGGAGAGTTTCGGGCCACGACGCGCCCATTACTTTCGGTGTCCCCGCGCCCGCGCTCCATGGACAATGCCCCTCTGAGGAGCTGCCGCCGCACGGTGCCTGATTTCTGTGAAACTCCTTTCCCCTTGACGTGGCTACAGCGACAAAGAGCGCCGATTCTGGCGACAACGTTGGATCGAAAGGCCCATCGGCATGAGCCACGACCGGAGGGCCCAGCGAGTCCACGACTGGACTCCAGACTCGCGCAGCAGACCCCGCAGACGACCTCCAACAAGATGGGCCGACCGGTTTCCGCTGAGCCCATTTGGCACGCAGCCGCGCGCGCGCGGCCCGTACTCAGCGCTCGCTCGTTCGTTCGTTCGCTCTCTGGCTTGCCGTGTCGCCTCTGTCCTTTCCAGCCTGCCCGCCCGCCTGTTTCGTCCCGCTTGCCCTGGCCTTCCGCCTGCGCGTTCGCCGTCGTCTGCGTGCTTCTCGTTCCCTTTCTTCCCTCCCGCCGCCGCGCAGCACTGGCTGCCGGGAGCTGGCGGCGCGCGCTCGGCGGATGTGTGTTCGCCCCCCCACCCCCACCCACCCACCACCCACCCACCCACCCACCCACCCACCCCGACAGGAGGCCCACGAGCGGGGCGCCGTGCTGGCGGCGGAACGCGCCGAGGCCGCGCTGGCGCCGCTGCTGGAGGGCGGACGCGCGGAGCTCAAGGCCGCGCGGCGCGTAGCGGCGACAACGTCGTCGCCCTCCTCCTATTCCTCCTCTTCCTTCTTCTTCTCCTCTGTCTCCTCCTCCTGAGACACTGAGGCACTGATGGCGTGAAGGTTCGTCGAACGTTGCCATCCTCCTCCTCGTTCTCCTCCTCCTCTTCCTCCTCCTCGTTCTCCTCCTCCTCCTCCTCCTCGTTCTCTTCCGTAGCCATCTTGGCTCAAGCCATTTTGGTTCACGAGTTGCAGGGCCGAACCGCGCGGGGGGCCCTTTATGTGCTCGGTTGCCGGCCGCGGAGTGGGAATGCAAGGTTGGCGGCGCCGAGAAGCTGCTGATTGTCCATCTGCTACTCGGCCTTCCTCACCTTCGAGTTGGACTAGCGGATGCTGACGGGATGTTTCGATGCCGCTCCTGGGTGGCTGCCGCCGCTGGTGGATCTCCACTTTCTCAAACCCACCGTAGTCAGCGGGACCACTTCTACGTGACCTCGCATAGCGGCAACGAGTCCTTCGTGAAGGTCGACTCCGCCGACTGTAAGGACATCAAGCGCACGGCTAGTGGCAAAGCGTTCCACAGGCAATTGGACGTTGCGGGCCTACGATCTGGTCGCGCGCCAGCTGCCTCTGGCAAGGTGGCTGCTCACCGTGCCTTGCGGCGGGGCGAGCTCATATCGAGCGCCCATGCGCAAACTCGCACGACTTTGCAGCGTGCCGACCGCGGCAAACATGTACACCGTGCGTTGCTCAAGGACGGAACCCATGTAGGCCCTGCACATTAGGAGGAACGTCTGCGGCACCTTCCACTTGATCGGCGCGATGGCACCAAGCTTACGACCTGGGCGGACCTTTCGATAACATCAGCATCAGGATGGTGAACGCCCTCTCGAGGATATCCCTCTCAGTGATGCCAGTTCCACTGCGGCGATACTCACCAGGCTGGAGCAAGTCGAGAGCACCGTTCACGCGACTGTCACAAAGTCTGTCACGTGGGAGGCCTTGGATCATTGCGTGGCTGCGGTAGCTGCGTCCTGGAGCTGACGGCCTACACCGTCTGCTGTGCCGCCGGCGGGCGCAAAAGCACAGACAGATGAGGGGCAACCTGGATTTCTGTTTGCCGTCCCTGGCTCTATCCCTGGTGCTGTCCCTGGACCGTTGTGGATGTACGGCACGCGGGTGCCCTCCCTCTCGGTCTTCTTGCTGGACGTTGCGACCACGCGGCATGGGCGCAAAGCCGAGCCGAGGCACACCCGCAGGACGACGTCGCTACGAATTAAACTGCTTCTTCGTCTTCGATCTCTGTGGGTGTCGATCTCACTACCTCTTCAGTCGCTCTCCGTGGTCACTCGGAAGAGAAGTCCCATGGTCTTCGAACACATGCTCGTGACTTGACTGTCTCAAGGTGATGGACGTCGACTTTCGCATAGCCAGTTGACCTGCATGCCGCTTCTTTCCTGGCTGCGAGAACGGCGACGCCTGCTGGTTCTCTCATTTGGCGGAGGTCTCCTTCGAAGCTGCCGCGACGGGGCAAGCGCGAATTGCTGCTTCGTCCCCTGCTCTGTCCTCTGCCCTGCCGTTGTCATCCTCTCGGGGCTTCTCGGGCCGAATTCCGAGGGCTTGGATTCCTGGAGATCTCGCGTCGGATTGGGGCTCTCTCCTCAACAGCGAGCTCCCTTCTCATTGAAACTGTGTACATTGACCCCCAGTGGACTTTCTGTCAGCTCATATGTAGTTTGACTCCTCTCTGCGAGGTTTCCATCGCGCGCCCTGCATGCTCACGGCGGGCGATCCTGCTGAACGCGACGCTGTTCGCGACACGCCACGGTTGGGCGTTAATCGAGATCCCGATGGACGGCACCGCGACGAGGCTCCAGGCGGTGTCCTCGGAGCCGCTGGTCGAGTGCCTCACGGTGCTCCTGCTGAGCCCGTTCGTGCCATACGTGGGCGGCACCTTCTGGATTGACCCCCCCCTGCATCAGGTGAATTCAACCGCAGTGGATTTCGAGACGCAGCTAGAGATCACGGTCGCGCATTGGATCGGGACGTTGCTGGGCAACGTTACCTCGTTCTCCCTGCCCCTGACAAAGAGGAAATGATTGACGCTGACACGTCGGTGATCTTCACAGGCGCTGGCACTGGCCTGGAGCAGAGCACACCACAAGGCGACACCTCAATCAGCATCGACTCATCACCAATGCTGTACCTGGAGTTATCGCTCTTTCTGCCTGCGGCGGGTGGCGCTCTACCTGGTTATCCTCGTGGTCGTTCTGCACCCCCTGGGCCTCATCGCGATCCTAGCAGCGTTCTTCGTGCTGCTGCAGGCTATCTTGGCGACGCGGGCGGGTGTATTCTGGCTGCCGGTAGGGGAGCCGCGTGGTCAGCCTCAAGAGCGTCTCGAGAAGGTTGCTCATTTCGTTGCCGCTGCTGGTGGCGCCCTACTGGGTCTTCTCCCAGATCGTGCCGCAATCGGCGGACCTCATCATGATCACGGCGGCGTTCTCCGTGCTGGGGAAGGCTTCTTCGTGTCGGGGGGCGATCTCGTTCTGGCTGCCGATCGTAAATTTCTTGTTCACCATCAGGGGGGATTCGCTGAGCCTGTTCGTGTTGCTGGTTCGCCTCACACCGACTTGGCAGTGCCTGGTGTGCCTCTTCTCTCTCGTGCTGATCTACTCCAACTGCATGTGGGTGGCAGGGCACTTCGTTCTTCTCGCTGACGACCTGGCTCGGCCTTGGTGGGCGGATGGCGCAGAGGGCGCTGATCGTGCTGGCCTGGCCAGCCAGCCAAAGGGGGTCTTGACGGATGCGGAGGTTCCCGGGGGTTTTCCAGGCACAGCCCGATGCGCAGCGCTTGGCGGCTCCTGGGGCCCAGTTCCTGCAACGAGCTCATGTCTCTCCGCTTCGTAGCTGCTGCTCGGCACTCGCCGCGCCCCTTCGTAAGTCTTCTGACCGGATTTACTGGGCCTGGGCCATGGAAACGTCTGCGGCTATCACGTCCGACCAGGGCGACGGGATCGTTTTCACTGGAGTCTCGCATCAGCTGTTTAAGACGCTTCTCAAGCAAGCGGTCATAAGAGCTGAAGTGGGACTTGGGGGCTAAACTTAACCTGAATGGGAGGGCATGCGTCGATGGTGTTTCGAGGAAGCTCCAGAGTTGTCGGCTCACTCTTTTCCAGAAAGGCTGTATTAGTAGGGCTTTGTGATGCAATTCGATTCACACTAGGCAGAGGGCGGCCGACCTAGGCTATATCCTCTCGCGCACGCGGTGCCCGCTGTGCCCTGGCGCGACAGAGACGCCACGGCACCGACTGCGGCAGCGTACGGCGGTGGTTGACGAGGAGGTGGGCTGAGGAGGCTGATGAATCGCCCGCGTGTTTCGGGGTCTTCGTTCGTCCTTCAGTGTCCTTTCCTCGTCTGCTTCAATCGGGTGGCGTGCATGTAGAATGAGTTTCGAAGCCGCCTGATGGCACCGCCCTCGACGACGCTGTCGTCGGAGACATTTGCACGGATGGTTCGTACAGCAGGGGGGCCAATCCAGAAGTCGACAGGGCTGGTTGGGCCCTCTCACTCTGGCAGCGTGGCACAGGTCTCGAGATCGTGAGAGTGCGGGGGCCAGTCTGGCCCCCAGACGGCTCAGGCCGCCGAGTTTCATGCGACGTCGGTCGAGTGGGCCGTGCGCGCTGTTCGTTCCTGCAAAGCCTGCGTTGATTTTCATGCCCTCCCCTGGGAGGAACAATGCTCGCCGGAGCGCGCGCGCGCTGGAGTAGCTCAATCTTGCCGCAGCGTTGCCCAGCAGTGCCGAGTGCACAAGTTCAAGGCCCATCAGTCTGTCGAAGGGGCCGCAGATAGCTGGGACTGCTGCTTGTGTGAAGGTAACCATGCTGCCGATCTGTCGGCGAAGGAGTCCATGCTCAATCACCCGCAGCCTGACAGTGTTGAAGCTGATGAATCAGATCGATCCTTGGCCGTGGCGGGAGCGTTTGGACTGCTCACTGCGATGCTCATGCTGTTATTGCCGCGCTTCATTTAAGGTCCGAACACGCAGAGGATCCCAGCGCCAGCTCTGCCGAGAAACGAGCGGGGTCCGACGCGCGTTTGGAGCTGGACGGGCCGGCTCTGACAATGCTCGAGAAGTTTTCGAGGGTCTCGGCCGACGCCAGCACCTCCGCAGCACGAGCTCACTGAGCTCGTGCTGCGGAGGTGCTGGAGTCGGGACTCGTGGCATGGATGCCTCAGCTTTCTCGGCTCTGGGCACAATATGCTGTTTCTCGATGCTTGCGACTACAGTGTTGTTTTAATCTGCCTGGGGTGTAAATTCTACATTTGGGGCGGACAAGTCCAAGGGCTCCGTCAGACCTGTCAGCCGCTGCCGAAGAAAGGTTCCCAGGGGCGGAAGCACGCGTGGATAATGATTTCGAAGGGACGTCAACCCAAGCGCGACGGAGTCACAGTCGATGTCGGCCTCCGGGCCGGTACGGAGAAGGAGGCGGAGGAGGTCCCCGCTCCCTCGGTTGAGCCTCCCCTCCCCTCGGCCTCGGAAGTGGAGGATGGTCACGAGAGAGGCGCAGGGCGGCTCTGGCCCAGCGCCTCCTCTCTGCTGCCAGATCGAGCCAGCCGAGTCAGAGGTGCGCTTGGTAATCGCTTCATTTTGGCCTCGGGGGTCTCGGCCCTACCCCGGGGTGACACGTGGGCTGCTTGTGGCGCTGTGGTTGCTCTATGTTGTGTGCTTTTGTGCTGTGTTTCTCCCCTTTTGCTGCTCTTATCCTGCTTTCTGCGTGGTTTGCAATCCGGGCCCTTCGTGAATTTTGTGCTGTGATTTTGTGGCGCTGCTGCAACAAATCCTCCTCCTCTTCTTCCTCCTTCTCCTCCTCCTCATCCTCCTCCTCCTCTCCTCCGCCTCCTCCTCATCCTCCTCGTTCGTCGCGCAGTCGCGCTCACGGCGTTGGCCGTCGTGGCAGCGTCGCGGCGTTTCCCCCAGCGGCGGCGGCGGTGGCGGAAACTTTGGGGTAGCGCGCAGCGGCGGCAGCAGCGGCGGTCGTGCGCAGCGGCGGCGGTCGCGGATCGGTGCGCGGCACGGCAGCGGCGGCCGCTTGCGGCCGCAGGTCGCGGCATTGCGGCACCAGACATGCCCGCGCCTGAAAACATCGACAAGTTCGACCTGGCGCGTAATCTCTGGACCAACGTGCTTGCTCAAAGCCACAGCCAAGAGTGGGTGGCTCACTTACTCACAAGCTGCAGGTCCCAAAGAAAGGGCTGCCATGATGAGGTTTGCTTGCGAGTTGGCCGTCGGGACCATGGAGCTCAATCCGATCCAGCGCTTACATCTTTTGTGCTAAGTTTACCAACCTGGGCCTACCTCAACGTTCAGGTGTTCCAGACACCGTCTTCATCTCGGCGCGAAAACATTCCGACGGGAGGTTTCTGGCCGAGCTCGGCCCCTGGGACCCTCGCCGGGTCCCAGGACTGCCAAGAAACGACTAGGGATGCAAATGCGGCGGTCGCGCTCAGAGGCGCCGGTCGCGGCCCGATCGGCACCGCATTGGCGGCGGGGGCGGCGGGCAGGAAGGGCCAGGGCGCCCAGTGCAGGGCCGGTGCCCGCCCAGGTGTGCTCGTTTCGCAGGAGGCGGGGCGTGCTGACGTAGCGGAGGGGTGGCTGGAGGCGAAGGGGGGAGGGGAGCGAGCCAGGGCATGTCCGGAGGGGTCCGAGGACAAAAACCGGCGCGCGCTAACAGAAATGTTCGGGAATGCGCGCGAGATGGTGGACCTGCACAGGACCGCCTTGGCAGCGCCTCCGGCGCCAACCCTGACGCGCTCCGCGCACCACGGGAGGGGTTTCCAGCGCCGATCTCAGAAATCCGCGCTGGAAGTTTATGATTATGTTGTGGGTCCTTCCTCGAAGGAGGCACGATGGAACGACGACGTGAAGGAGGAGAGAACGGGAGAGGAAGGAGGCCTCGGTGGTTGCAGGCGTGCTTTGTGGGTGCTTGCTCTGTGAGGGATGTAGCAGGGAGAGAGAGACGGAAAGGACGGTTGGGGAGGTCCGCCTACCCGAGGCCACCCTTAATCGCTGCATCAACGCAACAGGTCAGCACGCTAAACAGCCTGCATTCAGGGAAAATGCCAGGCGCTTGCAGGAAGTTCCGACACCATGCCAGCGCAGCGCTCTATTTGGTGGCCGTTTCAGAACCTGCCAGACGGTCGCAAATTGTCACAGCTCTCTTTCGTGGGTCGCAGACGGCCGCAACATGCGGCACACTATACTGCAGCCCGGCGAAGGCCGCAGCATGTTGAAGTTGTCTTCCCCAGAGCCCAGGGAGGTGCAGCACGTGACCTTTGTTCCACAGGTTTTGGGAGGGCCGTGGCATGTCACCGCTCGCTCCTTCAGCAGGGAGAGGGCCATAAGTATCACTTGTCAGTGAGTTGCCTCGCGGCCTAGGTGGAGCCGTAACTCGTGACATCGGGAACTTCTGCCTCCCACGAGCCTGCTGAAGGAGCCTTGGAGAGATGTTGGGCCGCCTTTGGTGATCACTGCGCCGTCGTTGGGGCCCATCTTGTGGCCGCCTACTGCTCAGTAGTTGCAATTTTGGGGGGTCTACTGGGTCCTCCTGGAGGTCACTTATTGGCCAGGGGTTTCTTGCAAGTGTGGTGCTGCTGGGAGAAGGTGGTAAGGGGGGCCGCAGACGTGCTCAGCACGAGCAGGAGGGGCCGTGGCCCGAGAAAACGATAGAAGCCCAGCCAGACGGGAGGCACTGCCACCCCCAAGCCGACACCGCAAGAGAGCGAGACCGAGGGCACGAAGTGCGGCCTCACGGGGCCATGCCTTAGAAATTTCCGCATCTCTTAGGAAGACCTTGTTTGTCGAAACCGTTACTGTTGAGAGGACATTGTGCAGCTCTGTTTTTTTTTTGATTTTCTTTTCTTTTTTTTTTGTTATGTGTGTTTTGTTTGTTGAGAGGACATTGTGCAGCATGTGTCGAGGGGCCACGTCGCATGACCTCTCCATTCCGCCCACTACTTTTTTTATATTGTGGCGCTGGGAAGCAGGACCATCAAACGTTTGGGCGGCACGTTGCGCGCGCAGCACCCTCCAATGTGAAGGCCAAGCGGGGGAGGGTGGAAATCTCAGTTTAGAGTTGTTGGCGCTGTTCTCGCGCATTTTTGATCTTAGCCGTATCATCCTCGTTCTGTACTGGAGACTGAAGGAGACAGGGTCTGGCTCGCGCAGGTCGCCCGCCTGGAGCAGTCCCTGGCGCGCGCTCGGGAGGACGGGAGGGGTGGGAAGAGCAGCGTTGGCCAGCGGGGTCTCGAGGCTGCAGGCGTGCTTGGCAGACGTAAGGGCGATGGGGACGACGCACCGCAGAGCCATTCCAAGAACAACCGACCCACTGCCCCCGTCTTGTGTGCAGCCGTTTACCTTTTCGGAACCTTCGAGCTGGCGATGGCGAAGGCAAGCATGGTTCCCACGGTGGCGGCAGCGACAAGGTTCCCAGACTTCTGACTACCTCCTTATTCCTCCCCCCCACTCCCGCAGTGCCACCATCACAGCTTCTGTTTCCACCCGGGCTCATCACGATCGTAACAGTGTGGAATCGCGCGAGGAGCCGAACGAATCCCCACAGCATCGAGTTGCGCGGTGCATGTGAGGAAGCAAACAGTTTGGGAGCAAACGCATCAGAAGCATACTTACGCAGGACGAAAGATTGTCCTCTTGAGGCGCAAATGGCGATGATGAGTTGACAGTGAATGACCGAACAGTGAATGACCGAACCCCTTTTCTCCCGTATAATCTTAACACGGGTGGGTTCCAGGGTCTGCGGATCCGATGCTTTCCAGTCCCCCGTTTTAATTTATTGTAATACGTTTTAAACGGGGTAACAATCGAATCCGCCGTAACAAATGAGACCGATCACGGATCCAGCAGATCTGAAAATGTGATCCGCGTTGACGGAAATCTGATTCACCGAAACAAGCACCAAGCCAACACCACACTTGGATCCGCGCGATCTTCATGGGATCCGACGGCGGTTGTCTCATACGCGTATGCTCAAGACTTCAAGCCGTCGTTCCAGGCCCAAGAGAAAACAACAACATCGTCTTAGAGGATGCCGTGTGACGTCAGGCTCAGGTCCGTGGCTCAGCGAGACAGCTTCGACAAAACTACAGCATGCACATCAAACGAGAACTCTGCCTGCCAGCAGGTGCCCCATAGAACTATTGCATCATCGGATGGCCCCAGGGGCCCACAGAAACTCTAGGGCATTTTCTGATACCCGAAGGATGGCGAGGACTGTGTCCCTATATTTCTGATGCCGAGATTCCGTATTGTATGTGCATATTGTAGTGCAATATCAAGATGAATGTCCATGCCCAGGACTCCAGATGGACCCATGCAGTCAATTGCCCAGTAGTGATGATACATCTTCGATGGCGCATGAACGTATCTCGCCAGGTTAGTTCAACCATTATAAATGTAACTAGATGTAGAAGGACGACCATGCCCATCGGTCGGTGAAATTATGCAGTTCTGGACCTCGTTATCCAAATCTACCTTCGGTCCCTTAAGAATTCATGAGTCGAGCGGTGTCCCTCTTCACTTATCTTCCGGGTGCGGGCGAATGCCTATTATATTACCAACGCGTTCTTACGGCATGTTTCTACCCAATTATTCCGACCGATGGGTAGTGGAATTAGTTGTGAGCGTTGCGGTGATGAAGTTGACGGAGAGGGATGACGAGTATGTTGACGACGCCAATTTGACAGAGCCTCGGTATCAGGCCTAACTTATCTGAGTGTGCACCACACTGTGCAGAGCATGTCAGACTAGAGCTGCACTGGTGGGAATTTAACACGCCAGCTTTGAAGTTCACCCAGAGGGGACCAAGTGAAAGCAAGGGAACCGATGGCCACGGCAAACATTGGTCGGAAATATGGCATCATGGTAAAGACGAGCGTGGTGGCAGTTCGGATCCTCCGTCCGTGTAGACGACATTCGCAACTGCAGGCAGGAGACCACGGAGAAGTCCGACTGTTTTTCCCAACCCTCCTGCGTTGGGTATTCGTTTTGAATAGAGCACTGCGGTCTCCACCTTCCTTCCTTCCCGCCTCCTCCTCCTCTCTTCCCTCTTCCTCTCCTCTCTTGCTTCCCTTCTCCGCCTCTCTTCGCTCCTCCTCTTCTCTCTTGCATCCCTTCTCTTCTCTTCGCTCCTCCTCTCTTGCTTCCCTTCTCCTCCTCTCTTCGCTCCTCCTCTTCTCTCTTGCCTTTTACGTCATCCCTCTGGGGCTGCGATCTGTGAAACTACCGCCACTTTCGAGGGCTGCTGGTGGGTCCAGCGGAGTGAGGCACCACGCAGATTCAGATTAGACCTCGCCATCCCTGGGGGGATGCGATCTGCGAAACTGTCACCACTTTCGAGGGCTGCTGGTGGGTCCAGCGGAGTGAGGCACCACGCAGATTCAGATTAGACCTCGCCATCCCTGGGGGTCTGCGATCTGCGAAACGGTCACCACATTCGAGGGCTGCTGGTGGGTCCAGCGGGGTGAGGCACCACGCAGATTCAGATTAGACCTCGCCATCCCTGGGGGGCTGCGATCTGCGAAACTGTCGTCACTTTCGAGGGCTGCTGGTGGGTCCAGCGGAGTGAGGCACCACGCAGATTCAGATTAGACCTCGACTTTCGACGGCTGCTGGTGGGTCCAGCGGAGTGAGGCACCACGCAGATTTAGATTAGACCTCGCCATCCCTGGGGGTTTGCGATCTGCGAAATTGTCGTCACTTTCGAGGGCTGCTGGTGGGTCCAGCGGAGTGAGGCACCACGCAGATTCAGATTAGACCTCGCCGTCTTTGGGGGGCTGCGATCTGCGAAACTGTCGTCACTTTCGAGGGCTGCTGGTGGGCCCAGCGGAGTGAGGCACCACGCAGATCTCAGATTAGACCTCGCCATCCACTGGGGGGCTGCGATCTGGGACACTGAAGCCAACATTCGAGGGCTGCTGGTGGGTCCAGCGGGGTGAGGCACCACGCAGATTCAGATTAGACCTCGCCATCCCTGGGGGGCTGCGATCTGCGAAACGGTCGCCACATTCGAGGGCTGCTGGTGGGTCCAGCGGAGTGAGGCACCACGCAGATTCAGATTAGACCTCGCCATCCCTGGGGGGCTGCGATCTGCGACGCTGACGCCACATTCGAGGGCTGCTGGTTGCGAAACTGTCGCCACATTCGAGGGCTGCTGGTGGGTCCAGCGGGGTGAGGCACCACGCAGATTCAGATTAGACCTCGCCATCCCTGGGGGGCTGCGATCTGCGAAACTGTCGCCACATTCGAGTGCTGCTGGTGGGTCCAGCGGAGTGAAGCACCACGCAGATTCAGATTAGACCTCGCCATTTCTGGGGGTCTGCCATCTGCGAAACGGTAACCATTTTCGAGGGCTGCTGGTGGGTCCAGCGGAGTGAGGCACCACGCGTCCAGGTCGTTCGCATCCTTGCACCATCAGCGGTGCAAGAATGCGAACGACCTGGACGCTCTGTGGCTGCACCTCTACGTGATGCTGTCCAGGGCGACGACGATAGACAACCTACTGATGGTGCGCGACCCCGGCCTTGACTTTCTTGCCCGCGGCCCACCGGCAGACCTTGCGGAGAAACTGCGGAAGTTCAGTTCCCGCACTGCAACATGCAGGAAGGAGGCAGAGAAGCTGGCGCGCGAGCTAGGTCTCGATCGCTTCCTGCACTAGATATAAACAGGTAGGATCCTGTGGACAGGCAGCAGGCATGCGTTGACCGAGCTCCTGCAAAAACGAAGCAGTCTCTTGCTTCCTCCCTCCTCTTTCATCATCGCCGCCTTAGTCCTCCTGTTACCTTATGCATTCATGGTGCTGCTGCTGCGATGGCTCCTCGCCCCTTCCTACTGGGTTCGTCCTTCTCCTGTCCCTCGTTCCCGCCCCCGCTATTGTTTAACAAGCCTTGAGACATACTCCTCGTCTTATCGATTGCTGTTATGTGAGTCGTGCAACATTACGCATCCCATGTAGGTCGCAGTACAAATCGCCGCGCCTGCACTGTCACGGTTCCTGCTAATGTTTCCCTACTCCGCTTGCCACTTGATGCCATTGGGTTGGGTACGTCGCAGGGTAATTGTTCTGTCTGCGGGCCCCAGGGGTCGTTTCCCCGTTGGGTCAGTTATCTCGTCCTGGGTCCATCTTCGAATGGCCCGGGGCGCGAAAAGTGCCCCCCTCCACCCGGTGGCCGAGTCGAATCGTGGGAACATTCGCAGGGACTGACTGACTGTGAGGAACAAGCTTGAGATTTGGACCCAGGAAGCATAAACTTGGATTCAGACGCGTGGGTTAGCGACGGGCTCCTTTCCCATACGAGCACGACGCGCTCTGCCGCCAAATCAAGCGGCATTGGCCTCGTGCTCTGTTGGGGTGATCTTTTCCCAGGCCCCTGGAGCAGGATAGAGGAGGAGGAGGAGGAGGAGGAGGAGGAGGAGGAGGAGGAGGAGGAGGAGGAGGAGGAGGAGGAGGAGGAGGAAGAGGAAGAGGAAGAGGAGGAGGAGGAGGAAGAGGAGGAGGAGGAGGAGGAGGAGGACGAGGAGGAGGAGGAGGGGCAGGGGGGGTAGAAGGGGATCCTTGTTTTGGATTTCGACGCTGATGATGGGGTAGGGGGGGAGGGGAGGGGGGAGGGAGGAGCAGGGAGGGAGGCAGGCAGGAGGGTGGGAGAAGGGGAGGAGGAGGAGGAGGAGGAGGGAGAAGATGAAGAAGGAAAAGAGGAGGAGGAGGAACAAGGATTCAGGATGCAGGATACATGAGACAGGTGGAGGAGGAATATAGGAGGAGGAGGAGAGGAGGAGGAGGGATAAGGAGGAGGAGGAGAAGGACGAGGGACTAACGAGGAGAAGGAATGAGGAGAAGGAGAATGAAGGCGGGCAGAGGAGGAGGAGGAGGAGGAGGAGAAGGAGAGTAGGAGGAGGAGGAGGGAGGACGGAGAGGGAGAAGGAAGAGGGGAGGAGGAGGAGAAGAAGGAGGAGGAGGAGGAGGAGGGACGGGGAGGAGGAGGGGGAGGGAAGATGAGGAAGAGGAGGAGGAGGCGGAGGAGGAGGAGGAGGAGGAGGAGGAGGAGGAGGAGGAGGAGGACGGGGAGCAGGAGAAGGAGCAGGAGGAGGAGGAGGAGGAAGGAGGAGGAGGAGGAGGAGGAGGAGGAGGGGCAGGAGGAGGAGGAGGAGGAGGAGGAGGAGGGGAGGAGGAGGAGGAGTGAGGAGAAAGAGGAGGAAGAGAGGAGGAAAGGACGGAGGAGGAGGAGGAAGAGGAGGAAGAGGGGGAGGAGGAGGAGGAGGAGGAGGAGGAGGAGGAGGAGGAGGAGGAGGAGGAGGACGAATGAGGAGGACGAATCAGGAGGAGGAGGTGGAGGAGGAGAGATGAGCAGGGAGGAGGGGCGAGGAGAAGGGCGAGGAACCATTGAGCCGGAGGGAGGAGGCAGGCTGCCGCCTGCCTCCCCGCTTGGCGCCAGGAGCTCGGCTCCGCCGCCGCCGCCGCCTCCGCGCGCAGCGGCGACGCCGCCGCGTCCGCCGAGGCGGCGCCCGCCCCGCATGGTTCTCTGGCAGGGCACCATCTCGCCCTCGTCGTTCCCGTCCTCCTCTTCGTCTTCCGCGTGACTCGTGAGTGGATCTTTGGTTCCCTCCAGGGGGCTGCCGTCCTCGCCTGCGCCCGTCCTCCCCCAAGCAGCAAAGCATCGCTGGGGGGGGAAGGTGGGGGCCGCAGAAGTGGGCGGCACGACAGCCAAAAAGAAAGGCGACCCCAGGAGGGAGGGAGAGCGACGGACGGAGACGACACGGGAGGGCACAGCAACAGGAGGAGGAGAGGGAAGGGCGAGGAGGTGAGGAGAGGAGACGGAGAGCAGCAGACACGACAAGGAGGAGCGGGCGAGAGGAGGGAGAGGTCCCAGCAAACAAGTGAACCCCCTAAGCGCCCCCCCCCCCCCCCCCCCGATACACGCGGGCACACTCCTGACGGGGCGCCGACCTGCACAGATCTCAAGATGGTGGGCCATAATTGGCGAGCACACCATTCACGGGGCACCCACCGACATGGGCAGGTCCCCAGATGGCGGGCCGTTGTGGGGGGGTGCTATTGGAGGGGATCATCGGAGAGCTGGGGATCATCGGAGAGCTGGGGCTTTCTAGGACAGTCCTGTGCAGGCTCCCATGCCCACCATCCTCCTCTCTCTCCTCTCCTCCCTTGCCCTCCTGCGCCCCGTAACACAGAGCGGCAGTAGGGCGGGGAGTGGGGTGTCCCCTCCACGGGGAATCGCGCCGCGTTGTGGCGTGTATGAGAATTGGTGCTGAAGTTCGAGGGAGAGCGAGGAAGGGAGGAATAATAGAGTGAAGAGGTAAGGTTGGAGCGATGCTCTGTCCTGCCGTGGCTATCTGCCGTCAGCCGGCGGAAGGCAAACGCTGACGCTTGCGCATTCGCCGACTGTCTCCGTCTAGGCCTTGCGCCCACGGGCCGTGGGTCACCACCCACCAAACCACCCCAACCCAACCCGAAGGCCTCGATTTGCCCTCCATTTCCAGTGGGGGGGGTCGGGGAACACCGAAAAAACACGCATGGAACCCGTACCCCCCCCAACCCGAAATTGAGGTCTTCGGCTTGGGTTTGGGTGGTCTGGTAGGTAGTCAGTGGGACACGCTGGGACTACTGTCCTCCCACCAGCAACCATCGACCTCCTCTTCACACCCATCACCACCGCCCTGTTCAGAGTGTTCCGGCGGGCCTCGTCAGGAACA